GGGGCCGGGGCCGCGGCCGCATCGAGAGCTGGGGGCGGGGGCGGACCCGGAGCCCGGACTCGGCGCGGAGGATACACCAAGTCAGGCGACTTCCTAGCTGTCCGCTCCTGAGCGATCCCCCTCCAACAAGTAAGCTCCACAGAGGAAGAGATAAAGAGTGCTGGACTGTTGTTTACTGCAGAATCCTCAGGGGCTCCAACAGTGTCTGACATTTAGAAGAAATTCAAAAATGTGTGGAATGAATGAAGGAAGGAGCGAATGAGCTCTCTCCTGGCTCTCCCACTTATTAGTTATATAATCCTCTCTGTTCATAATTCTCCAACCAAGAAAATGGGGATAAAATACTTACCATTGAGTAAGCATTGTAAATATCGTTCTCTACCCCCTTCTCCTTTGGCGCTTCCTTCGTACTTCTACCCCCCCACCTTGTCCCCCACTGATTGACGTGTCTCAGCCTAAGGGGAGAGGAAAGACAGATACTCTTCATTCGTTTGTTTACCTATTATTTATACCCTGCCAACTCCCAAAATATGAGACAGCTTTTAGAAAAATATATGTATATTCTAAACATTACATCTGCTAAAATGGAACAAAAAATTTTTTTTTGACTTGGATCCTCACTCTGTTGCCCAGGGTGGAGTGCAGCAGCATGCTTATGGACACCGCAGCCTTGACCTACTGGGCTCAAGTGATCCTTCCATCTTAGCCTTCCAAGTAGCTGGAACTACAGGCATGCGCCACGACACCTAGCTAGTTTTTTAATTTGTTGCAGAGAGGAGGTCTCCCCAAATTGCCCAGGCTGGTCTTCAACCCGTGGACTCAGGCAATCCTCTCATCTTGGCCTCCCAAAGTGCTGGGATTATAGGCGTGCACCACTGCACCCGGCCTAAAATGGAAACGTTAACATTTTTTTGAAGGACAAGAAAAAAGTACACTAACCACCTAGATTATTATAATTGAGCATTCAGTCTCACTTTCAATTTTTTGGCCTCCAAGGAAAGGGAGGAGGAGGATGTTTTTTTAGTGATAATTTTGAAGTCAACTAACATATGATGATTCTCCTTTGTAGGCTAGGCAAAATCGTGATTATAAAGATGCCACAGTCCTGCCTCTCTAGGTAGAATTCCCACCAGCCCCATAAGTTTTGAAGGAAACTCAGCCAAGATTCTGTTCCTTTCAAAAGCTTTCAATACTGAAAATATTTTCAGCCACAGTTTCAGATAATTTTCAGAAATATCCTCTGAAAATGAGAGAAATCCAGTACAAAACTCCATGTACTGCCTACACCCTCATATAAATGTATGCACTAAAAATTATATATTCTTTGGGAGATTGAAGTGAGAGGATTGCCTGACCTCACAGATTCGAAAACAGCCTGGGCAACTTGATGAGATCTCATCTCTACAATAAATCAAGAAAAATGAGCCAAGCATGGTGGCGCATGCCTATAGTTCCAGCTACTTGGAAGACTGAGACAGAAGGATTGCCTTCTTTCTTTTTTTCTTTTTAAGTCAGAGTCTCGCGCTGGAGACTGGAGTGCAGTGGTACACTCATGGCTACCGCAGCTTCAACCTACTAGGCTCAGGCAATCCTTCCAAATAGCTGGAACTACAGGCACGTACCACCATGCCAGCTAATTTTTGATTTATTGTAGAGATGAGGTCTCACCAAATTGCAGGGCCTGATCTCGAATCAGTCCCTCACCTTGGCCTCCCAAAGTGCTGGGATTACAGGCTTGAGCCACCACCTGGCCTTTTGTGTGTTTGTTTGTTTGTTTTTTAAATAGATCTGAATCTCTGGGCAGTGAACTTCAAAAGAATTTCCTAGACTTTTTTTTTTTACTCCAATTATGATAGATAGGAAGTCTTCAGGGGGCTGAGCTGTCTAACTGTCCTTCTGCAAGGTCGCATTAGGCTCTAAAGTAATTTCCCTTGAGAACAGGTTTTTGTTTCAGAACATTCTGGGCATTTTTCAAAGTGGTTACTTTTCTCCTCCCCCAGCCAAACAGATGGGGTTTTTTTCTGGTCTTCATCATGAGAACTCCTCGGAGTAAAACTCAAGAAAATGTGTAGGGTGGCAAGGGGTATCCCGCTAAAACTGAGTCCCTAGGAGTTTTTAAATCTCAAACTAGTACATTCTCAGTCTCTAGTAACTATACTTGTAACTGTAACCAGAGGCTTCTGGTCCCTGTGAATTGTGATTCTCTGCATTTGTCTGTCTCTCCAGTTTCCAGGCTGCAGTTTGCCCTGGGACTCAATTCATTGATGGGAACAAGAAGTTGATTTTTAGTTTGTTCAGCTTTTCTCGTTTGGGAAGTGGAGTGACAATTTCCAAGCTCCTCACATCTTGGGGTAGAGTGCATTTGTTTTTTAAAATCTTTTCCCTAATTATATCAGTAAAAGTATTTACTGTAGAAAGTTTGAAAAGAAAAAAAAAAAGAAAAAGAAAAGAATAATCAGGCCAGGAGGTGGCTCACACCTGTAATGCCAGCACTTGTGGAAGGCTGAGGCGAGAGGATTGCCTGAGCCCAGGGGTTCAACGCTGAGTCGACGCTGGGATGGCCGTGAGTGTGTCACTGCACTCCAGTCTGGGCGACGGAGTGAGACTTCAACTCAAAAAAACCAAAAACAAAAAACAAAACAAAAAAACCCTGGGATTAAACATAAAGTACTCTGTAGTATAAGAGTGGATTACAACTCCATTTAAGAAGGCATTTCTGGCTGGGCTCGGTGGCTCAGCCTGTAATCTCAGCACTTTGGGAGGCCGAGGCAAGTGGATTGCCTGAGCCCGTGGGTTTGAGACCAGCCCGGGAAACTTGGTGAGACCTGTCGCTACAATAAATAAAAAATTAGCCCGGCATGGTAGCACGCACATATAGTTCTGGCTACTTGGAAGACTGAGTTGGAAGGATTGTCAGAGCTCAGCAGGTCAACACTGGTGTGGTCATGAGCATGCCACTGCACTCCAGCCCGGGCTACACACACACACACACACACACATACACACACACACACACACACACACACACACACACACGCACACACACACAGAAGTCATTTCTAGGAAACCCCAAAGACAATGGGGGAGACAAAAATGAGGACACTAGATAAAACTGAAGACTCTGACACCTACAGCTACAGCAAACATTTTTTATTTTTTATTTTTTGAGTCGAGGTCTCTCTCTGTTGCCCACGCTGGAGTGCAGTGGCACACTCGGGGCCACCATAGCCCTGACCTGCTGGGCTCAGGTGATCCTTCTGTCTCAGACTTCTAAGTAGCTAGAACTACAGGTACATGCCATCACCCGGCTAATTTTTTGGTTTATTACAGAGACAAGGTCTGGCCAAGTTGACCAGGTTGGTCTTGAACCTCTGGGCTCAGGTAATTCTCTCGCCTCTGCTTCCCAAAGTACTAGGATTACAGGTGTGAGCCACCATGCCTGGCTTACCGCAAACATTAAACACAACTTCTTAGCCAGGTGTAAAATATAACACCTCACACTAAAGGACTATTTCTCTCAGTTCCTATTACCTGATACATTATATTTAGCTCTTAACAAAGAAATTACAATGCATGCTAAAGGGCAGAAAAACAAACATTCTACAGACAAAGAATGTAAGAATGAGACTCAGATATAGCAGATCATTTGGAATTATCAGACTAGGAATTTAAAATCATTATGATTGCCATGCTAAGGGTTCTACATTATTGTAGAAAAATATTTGGTCTTTGTCTGGGTTGTTAACACAGAGCTCCCAAATCTTCTGTAATTTCCTGAGTGATAGGGATGATGGGAATCTAATGAAGCTCCTTTTGATGGATCCCTTCTTTACCAATGAAGCCTGGAACTTTCAGCACCAGCCTCGCCAAGCC